GGGGGAGCTGGGAAGAATCTTTGTGAGGAAGAAAACCATATTCTAGTGGAAGAAAAGTGATTCATTTAAAGTAGGCGTGCTTTTTTTTTTTTTTTTTTAAAGGGGAGCTAAAAATTATTTTGCTATTTTTCAACTAATTTGATTCTATTTTATGAGCTTTGTGTCGTTGACAGAACTTGGAACTTAGTGCTTCATTCTGCTTCCTACTGAATCTAAAGAAGGTGGGAAGGCTCTAAAAAGTTCCTCCAAACTCACATTCCTCTGCCAATGGGTGTAGAGGGAGGATAGCTGGGCAAGGGGACCAGAGGCGAGACCTGTTTGAGCTACCTTGGCATTAAGCACCTGGGGGTGGTCCCAGTGGGATTTGTTCTGGGAAACAGGGAAGTGCTTTCTGAGCCAAAAAAAAAGGAGTTGATATTAGAAAATCATCTTAAATAGAATAATACACAGTACACAAAAGAAGAGAATTACTTTGATTTGATTCCTTCCCAAGTTGGTCAGCCTCAAGGCCAGTTGGGGATTTTCTCCACATCTAGACTAGCTTTCTGAGCAGAGTTCTTCTGAGCCCACTAAATTGGTGGGCTAGTTAGTGGGTGCCTAGATTTCAGAGGCTAGTGACAGGCCTGAGTAGTTGGGGGATGAGTTGGCTCGATCATCCTTCAGCTGGGAGATAAGAAATTTGAGGTATATCTTGAGGGAACCTGGAGGATTGAAGGCGCTGTATTGGCATACCGTGATCAGCTGGGCACATGACCAAAGACTCCTTAGAAGGTAAACAACGAAAGAGGTGAGCATGAGTTGGTGCATCATGCTATGAAGGAGGAGTACATAGTGCTCTGAAGACCTATAACCCTAGAGACTCTCATCGGACTAGACCTGTTTGGATGGTCTAGATTGGTAGGATTGAAGGTGGCTAATGTGACTTTCACAACGTCTTGCATTGTTCTGTATTCTTGGGGTAGGGTAGAGAGGAGGATGTAAATGAGAGAGGTAATGGTTCCAGGTGTTTGGTGGTTGATTTCTTTTGGAGGAATGGGTCAAAGAAATGTCTTGTTTTAGGCAAGGACATAATGGTACAGCAGGAAACAATGCATTGCCTAGAAATTGGTGACCCCCCAAAGGGGCAGATTAGTATCTTGAGCTTTTACTACATTTCTTTTCCCATCTATACTCTACCAAATTTGCATTATGGCTTAGGTGGAGGACCCTTAGGTTGATGGGGTGTGTAAGAGTGGCCTTCTTCTGGTGAAGGATACTGTGGATTGCTGCTCAGGAAGGCTGACGTTGGTCAGCTGCGAGATTCTGTGGTGCAGGGCTATCTGACGGTCACTTGGTGGCATTTGATGATGTCAGGAAAGAGATCTTTTGGCCCATTCAGGGAACCAGTTTACTCCTGTCTGTCATCTTTGTGGCATACAGCATTTACTTTGCCATTCTTGGCTGGAAATGGCTCAGGCCGTCAGTTAACCACAGAGTGGAAATCTGGAGAGAAGCGCTCAGCTGGTGTGGCAGATTTCTAGGCATTGAATTGATTTTCAGTGTCTTGCTCTTTGGTGGGCAGGAAGGCCTTGGGGCAGAGTACTTTGTGCCTATGAGCTGTTCCTCGAAGGCCACCTTGGTGACTGGATGCTCCCAGACTCTTTGCCCTTCGGGGTGAGGCTGCATAGGTAGGAGGGCTCCGATCTGAGACCGGACAACTCCAGTAATTCATCTGGAGGCAGTGGTGCTGGGTCACACTGTACAGGGACTGAGGCAGAAGGGTCTGCTTTCACCGCCCTGTTGGCCTTCTATATTTATGTGTTCAGAGTAAAACCAGTTAAGTGATGTTTCTCCTAGTCTGATGTAGGGAGTGGCAAACACTAAGAATGCACAACGGCCCCCAGAGCCTAGAACCTTGCATCCTGCCTGGAGGATGCTGAGTTATTGACCTTAAGGAGATTGTTCTGGAGCTCCTGAAGCCTCTGACTGAGAGATGCTTTTTTCCAAGTGGGTAGGAGTCTGGGCATCAGAATACCCTGAACAATGCCTGGGCCTCCAAATCAGAGATTCTGATTTAATGAGTTGGAGGCTCGGGAATTTTTTTTTTTTTAATCTTGGTGACTCTGTCAGCCAGATTTGGGAGCCTGCCCACCAGTGACAGATCCAGGAACCTCTTCCCACTCTTGAGGTGAATGTTGCCTCCTTGTTTGCTCCTCTTGGCCTCAAACCCCGAGCAACACTAACTGTGCCCACATAGTTGGTCTTCACTCCTCTTTATGTCCCTTTCCAAAATGTGTTTTTCGGGGTGCTGCCCCCTGGCTTTGCTTCAGCCTACATTGGAGCTGGTGGCTCATCCCTATGCCATCCCTGAAGAACGGGAGAGCCTCACCTGGGGATTCTGATTGACAGATATTCTGGGACATTTTTTCATAGAACTTCCTGCTTGAGGCTTGACTACATAGTAGATTCTGGCCATAGAAATCCAGGCCCTGAGGTAGATCCAGGATGGTCTCATGACTGGCACAGGACAGAAAAAACTATCAGCTGTCTTCTTAGAACCATGATGGAAGTACTAAAAATATGAGAAGTGTCAGTATTTCTACTTCCACGTTTCTTGGGCCCGGCAGACTCTGGGATAGCTTTGGTGGCCCTGAGGGAGTTCTAGGTGGGCATTGCCAGGAATCAGTGCTGATATGGTGGCACCCTTGATATGGGCACTTGGCAAGATAAATGTTCAAGAGTGTACATGACCTCTCAGCAGATGTTGGGTCAGGTGGCAGGGGCTTTTTTTTTTTTTTTTTTTTTTTAAAGATTTATTTACTTATTTTAGAGAGTGTGAGCAAGGTGGAGGGTGCTGGGGAGGAGGGAGGAGAGAGAAGGTCAAGCAGACTCCTCACGGAGCATGGAGCCTGCCGTGGGGCTTGATCTCACAATCTCGAGGCCATGACCTGAGCTGAAACCAAGAGTTGAACACTTAACCGGCTGAGTCAGCCCAGTGCCTCCAGGCGGCAGGGTGACTTTTACCACTGGCAGGGTGACTTTTGCCACCGGCAAGGTGACACGAAATGTGGATGAGACCAAATTGGAGGGGTTGTTCACTCCTTGCTATGCCCGTGTTGCCGCATGGCCTGTAATTCCTACCTTCTCCTCTGTTCTCCCCCTGCCTGCTGCTCTACTCCCCTCCCTGCTTTAGGATGTCTTCAACGTCTGTCCTTGCTGGGAAGTGTCCGTTCCCCTCGGCTGCACCAGGAGCCCCTGTTCTGTGCTCCTGGAACACCAGTGCCTTCCCAGGTCTTTAGGGTTACCTGTCATGTTAGAACTCTTTGAGTGTCGGATCTTGACGGAGCAGCTTAAGGTCAGGAACTGGATCTGGTTCATTTCTGTGTTTCCATCACCTTGCACACTGCCTGGCATGTAACTGGGTTCAGTAGATATCTGCTGAGTGGTCAGTGAATCCATGCATTCTTCGAGGGGCTGATAGAAATAACTCCTACCGAGATCTAGATCTTGTGGTTGAACATTGTTTATTATAGTCTCGCACCTCCATAGAAGCTTATTTGTAGCCTTGCATTCAAAATGCATATTAAAGAACATTTTTCTAGCATATAAAGAGTATTTCAGACACTTTGGGACATTAAATGAGCACTTTTGAAGGAATAGATGCATGGTATTTATGAGATTTTTTTTTTACTTAAAGGATAAACTTTTTTTTTTTTTTAAGATTTTATTTATTTGAGAGAGAGAGCACTGGAGAAAGAGAGAGAGAGCAAGCCCATGTGGGAGGCAGAGGGAGAGGAGAAGCAGGCTCTCCATTGAGCAGGGAGCCCAATGCAGGGCTCGATCCCAGGACCCTGGGATCATGACCTGAGTCTAGGGCAGATGCTTAATCGACTGAGCCACCCAGGCACCCAAGGATCAACATTCTTGAGAACGTCACATTAGTAATTGAACCCTTAGGGAACCTGTTGGAAATTACCTTCATTTGTCAAAGAATAGAAGAGTATGGCAAGCCTTTCAGTAGAGTGGCTTGGGTACTTCAACTCTATTTCCTTGATTTTAATATTAGCTTTGAAAGACCCATACATACACACCTGTGTATATAAAATATTTTTGTTTTACAGTATAAGATTACCATGTGGTGGGGCAGAGTGGAAGAGTCCTGGATTGGCAGTCAAGATACCTAGGTTCTAGAATTAGCTCTGCTTCTAACTGTGGGAGTAGGCAAGTCAGTTTCCTGCTTATACTTTTATAACATGGACGTGTTGTACTTGTTCAGAGATTTCACATGCCTGCCAGAGTGGGGGTACTAACTTAAGTTGCTGATGTGCTGTACCATTTTTTTTTTTCCTTTCGGAACTTTGCCCCTTTTTCTTTTATGTTCCCACTTTTGTTAGGTAGAGAGAATTACTTCTGTAACACACACACACACACACACACACCAAAAAACCCAACAATACAAGGGCAATGATAACCATAGCTCTCTCTCTGGTGAGACATTAGGAAGTGGTGGGGACTGTGGCATTCTGGAATAGCCAAGCCTGCCTATGAAGGGCAGCTACTTAGCACAGCTGATCATTTTTAGACATAAGTGTGGGCCATGTTGACTGATTTTGTTGTTGTTTTAAGAGAACTTACAAGTCTGGGTTTTTATGTGACCTCTCTGATTTTTTTAAAGTTTTGGCTCAAATTTTCTAAACCTATCCTGCAGATCGATTGTAATACTGCTGTAGGCTAGATGTAACCCACTGGGCTTTCAGTTTGTGATCCCTATTATAGATGATCTCTGAAGCTTCTTTCTGACCAAGGTCCACTGATTCTAATGGGGACCATTTCAACTGGTGAACTAAAGATTCTTGTTCTAGTTGGGGAAGTCAGGGTAAGAAGGGAGTGGGGCTGGAAGAGGAGAATGGGGGCTGCAGCCTAAACAGGCTGCCTGCTGATTGGTGTTTTGGCTGGCCTCCTTGGGGAGAGGCTGCAGAGTGCCTGATTCCCACACATGTCTTGTATGTTTGTCATTGCAGGAGCTGGCATTTGTTGGAAGAGTTTGTGAAACCTTCTCTCTGCCCAGAGCTCAAGACCAATGCATCCCACCACCTTAAACCACTGGTAAATAGGTGCTTTGGTTTTTTTTTTTTTCTTTAGCTTTTCTTTCCTTCCTTCCATCCATCCATCCATTCTTCCTTCCTTCCTTCCTTCTTTCCTTCCTCTGTGAGAGAGAGTGAGTGCAAGCATGTGCAGAAGCAGGGGAGGGGCAGAAGGAGAGGGAGCAAAAAATCTTAAGCAGACTCCACATGTGGTGTGGAGCCTGACACGGGGCTTGGTCCCATGACCCTGAGATCATGGAAATCAAGAGTTGGATATTTAACTGACTGAGCCCCCCAGGCGCCTCTGTTTTATTTCTTCTATTGTAACAAAAGGAAATATTTTTGGTGGAGTGTAGAATGCGATTTTCAGAGAACCACACTGTCCATACTGTTCTGGGAGGAAGAACACTGGGCTGGGCCGAGCCATATCTGGGTTCTGGTACTTACTTGGTTCTGCCACTTTTACTGTGGGAGATCAGGTGAATTGTTTGACCTCTCTGGGCCCCGGACAGAGAAATGAATCCTGCCCTGCCAAAAGAGATTATATACCTGAGAATGCTTCATATGGAATAAAGTGCTGGACAACTATAAAGTAATCCTGTTTAGCTTTCACATGTGGAGCTGGGTAGTTCTAAGCTCACAGATTAAAATGTGAACACACGTATATTGCAAACACAGATTTGAAATGCCTGTTTTCTGAGTCTTCCAGAGTGGTCCTTCAAGCCCTTTGCATTTTCCTTTTCTCCCCTTTTCTACCATGGCTGCAGCTGCCTTTTTCTTGAAATGTTGTATTAACTACATTTCCCAATTACCTTCATTTTTATTTGAGATCAGATCATTTCTGTGAACAAATGTTCTTTTTTCCAAAAGAAACTTAATTGCTCATCACAGCAGGTAAGCGTCTTGCTTCTGCAGCAGTGGAAAGGGGCAGAGATCTGTCCTTTACAGCAGTGTGTCAGTGCTGAACCCAGGACACTCTGGGGCATGGTGTCTAGTGATGTTGAAGGTCTCGCGTGAACTCCTTGAGGGGAAGGACCACCATGAGCCAAGGTTGCAGTAGGACCTGTGTGTCTGGATTCTTACCACTCTTTGTTGAGAAGAGCTGTTTGTTTGCTGACTGGCTGGTCAGCTGTCACATTAAGGACCAGGTGCTCATATGACCCAGGGAGACAAGTCCCAGTGGCATGGCCATGTGGGGAGTGGCTGCGTGCTGGAGGTTGGTGCAGGAAGGACAGGCAGTTTGGACAGGCAGGCAGGCTGGCCCAAGGTTAGAGTCCCAACTCAGGTGTGGGAGGCTGACCAGACACAGCAGTGTCTAAAGGAACACCATGGACATTCATGGTCCCACAACCAGAGTCCCATTTGGTGGGCAAGAAGAGCTCCATGGTGGAGGTCCTCAGAGAAGCAGATGGTCTCAGGTGGGTGGGACACTACCCATTCAAATACATGTTAATGCTTACTGTGTGCCAAGGCATTGTTGCTCTGAGCATTGGAGATTCTGAGGTCTAAAGGCAGACTGTGTCACATGTCTGGAGCTTAGAGTTAACTAGGGTGGCAAATAACGTGAGCTCCATGAGGGCAAAGATCTTCGCTTTCTTGTTCACTGCTATCCCCAGCCCTTAGAAGAGCCCCTCACATGCAAACATGATGGGTGCGCACTAAAAATTATTTTATGAACAAAGTAAATCACTAAATAATTTTGGTAGTAATAAGTGCCATGGGGGAGGGACAAAATGAGGGGCTGGAGGGACTGTTTTTCAAAGAGTGGCCTGAGAAGATTTCTGTGCCTGGGAGAGAGAGGGGGAGAAATTCTGTACAGAGATCAGAATGGAGTGAAGGAATCTCAGGGGAAGTGTGGAAGCAGAGGGAACAGCAAGCAGAAAGAAAAGCTTTGATGTCAGCTGAGCTCGGCATGATGGAGGAACAGGAGGGCAGCCAGTTTGGCTGGCCTTGAGCTGGGAGGTAGGTATGGGGGCAGTGGTATGAAATGAGATCAGTGGCACGTGGGAGCCAGATCTTGGAGGCCATGATAAGAAGAGTGTGATTGGACACCACTGGAGAGTTGGAGCAGAACAGCAATCATCTTTGTGCTTCACAATTATTTTTCTGGGTCTTGAGTAGAGAATAGATTCTGGGGGCAAGAGTAGAATCAGTGTAACTTGAAGGGGTCCAAGCAGGAGATACGGGCGCGACTTGGATTAGGGTGGGGGTTCTAGAATGATGTGAGCTGGTCAAGCTCAGGATATATTTTGAAGGTCGTGCCTGCTGGATTGAGTGGGCAGAAAGAGTCTAGTGTTTTTGGTTGGGTGAATGATGTTGCTGTTTACTGAGATGAGGAACAGAGAGCGGGATGTGTGGTGGGGGACCCTGAGGATACAGTCTGAACATGTTAAATTTGAGGTGTGCATTTGGTATTTTCCTGGAGATCTAGAGTTGGCTAGGCCTGGAGGTGGTATCTTTGAGAGTCATCAGCATGTAGATGGTATTTAAAAGCTATGAGACTGAGATTACTTAGGTAGAGAAAGGAGGACTGAGTCGGACTTGGACAGAGAAAGAGGCAAAGGGTGGATTTTCCAGATAAAATCCCTAAGAAATGAATGAAGACACAGTGTACTAATGAACATGGTATGATTTCATGTCACAAGAATATAAATTATTCAAATGAAATAATGACATAAAAGTAGTAAAACCTCATCTTATATAAAAAAAACTTGTTATAACCAAATTAAGAGAATTAGTTTTAGAATTTCATAATTTTAAATCAGGTCGGCTGAGTGAATTATAAACTGCATTTATGCAATTGGCACATGGCTGTGCCTTTGGCTGGCAAGCAGAAGGTTCCAGCATCTTTTGCCATTAATAGTCTGTAAACTACACTGTTCTTTATCTGTACTGGAACTTCTGCAAGCCATTTTGATGACTAAGTGTAATTCACTGTTAATACATTTCAGGTTTTTCATCCTAAAATCGTACCATCCAAAAGTTCATTATTTATTTTATTTTATTTTTTTTTAGAGAGGGAGGGCCTGCAGAGGAGGGGAGAGAAAGAGTATCTTAAACAGTTGGAGCTCAATGTGGGGCTTGATCTCACAACCCTGAGATCATGACCTAAGCCGACATCAAAAGTCGGACACTTAACTGACTGAGCCACCCAAGTGCCCCAGAAGTTCATTAAATGAAGGCTCTCTAAAGTGACAAACAGTGCATGAAAGCCATTAGTTGTGTAATCAAAGTTAGCTATGATCACGTTCTATGAAAAAGGCCAAACGCCTTTTTTTGGTTTGTAGAACCACAATGTAGGAAATATTTAGAACATCTCTGAAATAATCAAGGATAAATGTTATAAGATAAAAAGCACCAAAAATAGACCATGATGGTTGTGGGAGAGTGATGCATCTCAGGGAGCACCCGTATCCATCAACTGCCCTCGACCGCCGGGAGGAAATCTGTTCTGAATCCTACACATTTTTATTTGTTTGTGGGCTTTGGGCACAAAATGCAGCCATTCCATATTGGTTTTGTCCCTTTCTAAGGGAAATCGCCCCATTGAGCTACCTGCACATTCTCATTGAGTTCCTCTATTTCCATTTTTGCGCTACATGGTGAGTTTCTTCAGTCTTGTTATCTCCAGGCTCCCTAGACATTTTTGCTGCCTTCCTGAAGTCGCCACTCAAAGTTGGCCGGCCACCTCTCTGTCCCCCTAGACTTCATCTCTGACTGCCTTCGAGAGCCTCCCAGCTGAGCCCTCCCCAGAGGCTTTTCAGGATCTTTTCGGAATCCCTTCTTTGAGGACACTGTCACCCCTTCCCCAGGCCTGGTCTTTTCATTCCTTTTGTGGACATGACAAGAGGAAACCTGTGCAGCTGTTGAGGGCAGTGTGATAAGCAACCTTCTGGAGTGTGCTGTTTCAAATTACTTGGGCAATGGGCATCCCTAACTTGCATTTTTGTGTATTTCCAGGCCCTCGTATTTCACTGAAAATATTCTCAGTGGGACTTCTGGGGCATCTACTATGCACTGATTACATAACATTCTCTATCCATAACCAGTGGTTTATGGCAAAGTGGAGGTTTCAGTGGAATGGTATTTGTGATGATTGACACCAACCTGGGTTTAAATTTGTCTTTTATCATAGAGTAGAACTTAAATAAGCTTAAAAAGAATGAAATTTACTGATAACCAGCAGAGGAGGATTTCTCCTCTCTGATTCCTTCTTAGTAAGTGCTTTTAGGGATTAAAAAAACTGAAACAAAACAAAACTGGTACCTTCTCTTGTCCCCAGAGACTGAGTGGTCAGGCATTAAAAAAAAGTGGTGGTATTCTCCTTAAGTTGAAAAGCGAAACAGTGCCTCAGTGCTGGTACACATGTAGACCGTCTCAGGAGAAGGTGCTAGAGAGGAGTAGCATTTTGAGAAGGGCGATGGTATAGGAAGGATGCTTACATTCCATTCTATACCCTTTCATACTTTAGGGGGAAAAAAAAAAAGGTCCAAAGTGGAGTGACTTGTGCTAAGGCCCATGTCCGCAAGCCAAGAATTAATACCTAGCCTACCTCTGTAACCTTCAGCAGTCAATCTGGAATTACCTGGTCAGCACTAGTGAGGAGGGAATCTGCCTGATAGGAACCACCCCCCCACCCCTCCCACCTTCCCTCAAAGGAAGGTGACCTTGCCTGGGACAGTCCACTTTTTGCTAGAATAACTTCTTTGCCCCCCTCCTTCTGCCTTAAAAAGTCTTCCATTTTGTATAGCTCCTCAGAGCTCCTTTCTACTAGATGGGAGGCCACCCAATTCATGACTCAGTGGATAAAACCAGTAAGATCTTTGAATATACTCCATTGTTTTGTTGTTTAACAACTTCTAATTTCTTTTTGTATCATGTTTATGTGTTACCTTTAAAAAGCATGATAAGTATCCCTTTTCGCTCTTAATACATGATCTAGAAATAGAAAGCTTCGAGTTCTTCATTACTTGGTTCTCGGAGTGCTCCTGCTCGATGTGCATTTTGACAGAAGACATTGCCTTCACTTG